TTATGACTCTAGCGTAATGAAACTAGTTCACATATAAATTATACTATTATTTGTGATGAACCTGAGTCTTTTATGTAAAATACATAAGTTATTTGCAATTTCGAATTTGAAATCCCACTTGTTTATGTCTGTACGCAAAAAAAAAACATTAAGTTATCCCACAGATTTATATAGAGAGTTAGTATAGAGACAAAAAATAACTCTAATTTGCCTAAAATATGACGCAACAACTTCATGTAAAATCCATCTTAAAACTTAAGCAACCATTGCATACAATAACAATATGTAAGTAATGTCCACATACAATTTACTTACATATATACCAGTACATCAACAATGTGGGCAAAGCAAACAGTCTATAGAGTTGACGGCGTAGGTTTAGCGCGTGCTGTAACTTTCCTATTGTGAGGGCTCGGCCCATTGCAAACAGAACTGCTGCTGGAAACTACCACAACGTGACATGTATGAAATATCGGAATAATACTGTGGATTTCCATGGACCAAACACTTTTGCAAAACATATCGTTATACTTCTTGAAAAAAACATAATTAATCATTTTCTAAGTATTTCGGCTGTGAAATTACACGGTTGACTTACAAAATCCATTTTTTTACACAGTTGTATAACATAGATACTATGGTTAGCTAGTGTAATTTAAAACTACATTTATTTCGTGTTAATTGCGTTAATCCGGTGTCCCTTGTAGTCAATGATGACCTATGGAAATGACCTTCACCAAATATGAATCAAGTAATTGTGTAAAATTACATGATAAAAGTGCTGTTCATAAAATAAGTAGTCAATTTCTACGTAGAGATGATAAATGATACCAAAGTTGCAAGCATGTTAGCAGCTTTTATACAGATTGTTGAGAAGGGTAATGGAGGAAAGGAAAAGAGGAAATATGTTGGGTTACTGGGCGATAAACATTAATAAAAATTACGGGGAAATTCAAAAATCTACGAAATTCCGTTGAAATTTACCAGTTGTCTTGTACTCGGAATGGAACTCTGTTCACTTTAGTAGTTATGACGTATTCTCGATTGCGGGTTATGACGTAGACAGTGCGATTTATGTGAACAAACGGACATTCGTGCGCATTCTGTATGAGCATTAGATATCGTAGCTCTTTAGGACTTCAGTATACTTCGCTCCGTCGAGCTGAGCGCACGTATTAACGTGACGTCACTACTTGTTTATATCTGTGCGTGAAATTTAATAAAGTTCATGTTGTACTTGTGATTTTAAAATTGTGAAAAAGCACGTAATTAGAGTTTAAAATGCGAAATAATCAAAACACCTACTTTTAATCTAAATATAATATTAAAAAAAAAACATTTTAGGAATATTGCAATAAATATTTAATGATAAAGATATGTTTTAAAATAATCAAAAAATAGGTAAATTCTCGTTGTCGGCTAGGATTATCCCTCGTGCGTTGAAGATTACACCGATTTGAGATAAATACATAATTTGTTTATTATTTAATTTGTAATCGTCTCATTAGGCTATTGTTTTCGAATAAAATAAAATTTAAATTAATGACTCTTTACTCCAATTTGATAGTAATCATGAAATCCAAGCGAATGCAGCGTTTAGTTACCTGCACTGTAACTGCGTTTATCTTTTAACTAGGTATGTCCCACGCTTCACTGCATTTATTCCGCATTTCGTACATAGATTATCTTCCTCGTAATTATTGTTATTTCGTAGTTCTTGTACTTAGTTGGCACGTCACACAAAAGAGTACTCTTTTTATCTACGTGCCAAATGAAAGGCTGGTAAACGAAGTGTTGTAAAAATACTCTTTAGATTTACAAGCATGATAACTAATGTGACGTAAATATAATAGTATGTTTAAATGCTATGCGGAGATGAAATAAGATATATTGAAACTCTATATCAGTATTGTTAGCATATCGTACTCGCTTGGTGATGTATAAAGAAGTGAATATTCACTTCTTTAAATAAATAAATAAATAAGGATACACATACTTATAATTTTTATAAATATTTATAATAGCATTTAACCAATGCTCAAAAGTCAAAGACATTAGACGATATCTCAGTCGACCCACTTTCGAAGTTTCACCGCGACAAATATTAATTAGTTTGTAATTAGTTATGGGTAAAGTGAATGTTTCAAGTTAAACAATTACTTGACTTCGTTAACTTATCTTGTATTAAAATGTATCGTTACAATACTACATTTGTGTTGAATTAATTTAAAATATATTTAAAGAGTTTAATGTTATGACAAATTTATAATATAAAATCCCACTCATTGTTAAATACTTATTTAAAAACCATAGAGAATACTTAGGGAGATGTGTTTACTTAAATGGTTGTAAATAACAGTATGAATTCAATAAAACTAATTGGGCTTTATATACATCACTAATAAATCTTGTTTTTTACAGAGTTGTCTAGTACATGTGAGTAAACACAGCTTAAAGCGAATGCTAATCACTGCCTACATCTAGGTTTCCGCCATTTTGTCCTTTAAGCACTAAAATGGTTACGTTTTATTTATTCTATGGGGACAAATTTATACCCATAGTTACTGTTAAGGGCTTCCTGGAGTTTTTACTTGAGTAAAACTAACTTTTTTATGTTTCTCTATGAGTACGTCTGCCTTGTTTGTATCTTTTTATGAAATAGTTTTAACTTTTTTAGTATATCCTACGTCAGTACCAGAAATATACATTGATAGTGAAGCAGCCAAATTGTTTTAATCTTGGTAATATTATTAAATTTTCCTCACAAAATAATCTGTTCATTGATAAATGCATCCGTTAACTCATTTTTAATACCGTATCGTTCGTTGTGTATTTTACCTACTGATACAAAGAGCATGATAGTTACAGTCGTAAAAATAAAAAAAAAATCTCCTTGGTAGAGTACAGATGACCTCGTAGAGATAGTTGAAAGGTCGCCATTTTCTCACATTTTTCTCTCCTTTTACATTTTTTTGAAATATTTATTCTCTACTTATTATGTCCTAAAATTTAAAAATATAGCAATTTTTCTTTTTTCTTTAAAATATGCGATGAAATCAGTGATGCAGCAATGTTCAGCATGTGTCAGTCATTCAGTCAGTTGTGTGATGTCTGCAATGGTCGTCTGTGTGCGCGGTTTGCAGTAAAACATGCAGTAGTCAATAAAACATATTTTTACGCGCCTCCACAGCTGAGGTTCTAAACATAAATATAGTCGATATGATGGACGATAAATTCGCGAGATTCAAATAATATTTTTACGATGCGATATGAAAGATGTTCCGAATATTTAGTTACGTCTACAATTGTAGCAACATTGGTCGATGATTTATTTCTGTACATTATATATAGCTTTCGCTGGATTCTTTATACTTGCGAAATGCGATATGGTTTAATAGAGTAGGTACTAAAAAGTTAAAAATAGATTATGTAACCTGCGGTAAAATATATCAAAAAGAACTATTCTATAGCTACATGATAAAATTTTTAATTGAACTTTTTTTTAGAAACATAAACTGTAAAATATCTGCATACCAGACAGAATTAGCAACTTTTTTAAACCTTGTGTATATCAAAGCAAAGTGAAACAAGCGATAAACCGTTTGGTCGCTAGAAGTGATGAGTCAGTGAGGAAGTGATCTATAAGTGAGAGGTCGTGCTGGTACAGTTGCCATGGCAACCCCCGCAGCGGCCGCGCCCCCGCGCGTCTCCCGCAACGTGTCCCTGCCCGCGGGCCGGCAGCCCCCCGCCGTGGGCATGCTGGCCCGCAGGACACTCTCCGAAAGGTATTTACTGACATTAACTTGACGATGTGGTATAAAATTGTTGTATTCTCAAGGCGTTGTGCCTGGAATTTGATTGTAATGTAATATTGAATTACAATAACGAACTTAAACGGATAATATGGAATAATACATGTGTAAAATATTGTTTATCTTCTATTGAATGTTAATGCGGCGACGGCTTGTCTCCTCTGTCTAGTATTTATCGTAAGCGAACGCAACGATTGTCTTAATGGACTAGCGTTTTTAAACAAACTGTTTGTACAAACAATACACAAACGATATTATCTGCAACATATTTGTTATTATTTGAATTTCAATTAACGGCCACAATGAATAATCGATCTTGAACCATTTTCACCATCCGCGGTAGTTTTAATAACAATTTGTCAAACGCAGTCATTACATTTTTCTATTCGAATTTGGCCCTTACAAAATAAGTCCATCTTTTTTTTTAATATGTTACGTAGCTTTTAAACCAAGGTATCATTTATGTGTGTATATTATTGACACTCTGTTGTTGTTTCCGAGAAGTTGCGGCGGTTGATTGCATACCCTGCATCCCTCCCACAACTCCACCCATTTACACTCACCCTGCCATCGCGTCGATGTCACGTGATAGATTTTTATTAAACTGTCACTACACCCTGCTGATAGCAAACTGTTGTCATAATACACAAATAGCACTTCACATTATTATGCTAATGAAATATCATGACTTTTTCTTTTCCTCTATTACTTCCGAAATATATATTCGATCCTTACGTTCTATTAGAAAATCATTTTGGAACAAAATGGATTGAAAATACCGTGAGGTAAGCAAAAATGGTTCTCATGATTGAATGTTGGTCCTTCTGTTTATAAACAATGTGGCAGTAACACTAAATGTCAAGGTCTGGGTGTCGAACCCACGGCACGTGCCTCGCCAACCGTCGAGTACAAAATTACCCGCAATTTCAACAACATCCCGTATATGTTTGCTTTGGCGTTTCCTTCGCGTCCAACCTTTGATATCCTCTGTTTATTACCTCGCTACTACAGTTTGATATTAAGTAATAAAATGTACAATTCCTTGAGTAAAATGTAAACTTTTATACTTGTTATCAATCATGTAGCTATCTTATGGTGAAAGAAAAAAAAATTAAAAACTAATCTGTTGTGTTCTGCTTCTTATCTTTTTTATGTGGTATATTTATATATTTGTATATTGTACTATAGTGACCTGGAGCCGGGCACGCCGACAGCGCCCTCTGGCAGCTCCAGCAGTTCCAGTTTATCTTCTAGAAGTAACGAGAGTAACACGGTCGCCGCTGACCAACAAGGTTGGTACACTACTAAAGAGATGCCACTAAATTAATTAGTACTTTGAACTATAATAATGTTTCGGGGTTCGAATAAACATATTTTAGAATCGGTAATAAGTATATTTTGACTGCGTTCAAACGAAATAGTGATGTATTTGAATCGGCCATTATCAATGTAATTGGGATAGTTAATCGATACAGACCTATAAGTATTATAAGATTAAAATTTCGCGTCAGCTCGCGTTTGGGGTGTAGAGTTCAGTTGCAGTGAAACTAGTACTACATATTGTTGTCTCTGTTCAGTCAAAGAGAATGAAAGTGATGACAATATATGTGAGTGTTGTGCGTGTGAGTACGTGAGGTGACAGTGACGTAGCTTCCCCGTCAGACCTGTCGGAGGAGGAGGAGCCGCTGGCGGCGCAGTGGGCGGACAGCCTGCCGCCGCACCTGCTCGACACCCTGCTGCTCTCCGCCAGGCTGAGGAAGCGCCAGGAGGTCATACATGGTGAGCACTCCCGATTACTCCTAGCTCATCTACAGAGATAACTTTATCGATATAAGCCTAAAAGTACTAGTAATAATGTAAAAAAAAAACATTAGAAAATATTTTCTGTGATGAATTTGCCACAATGTTTATTGATGTTTTTGTAAATGTCAGTCACGTGTGTAATGTATTGACTGACAAGAACAAACATAACGTAATGTCAGCCGACTCTAACAATGATCAGTGTTTAGAAAATATCTACAGCTAGTTTGTGAATCAGCATTTATAAGTAAATTTATTTCATGTTTCGCAGCTTACGTTGTGACTATTTAAAATGTTAAGATAATATTACTATAGAATGATATTATTAGATAACAAAATGTTATACATTTAAACTTATATGTTAATTTTTCGGAGCACTATATGTTTCCTGATGAGGCGAGCCGTCGTGTGTTAGTATCAGTCAGTGACAGAGGTTGTGTCATGGTCGTGCGCAGAGCTGATCGTGTCGGAGGGGTCGCACGTGCGCTGGCTGAAGGTGCTGGACACGGTGTTCCACCGTCCGCTGCTGCGCGCGCCGGCCTTGCTTGCGGCCGAGGACGTGCGCGCGCTCTTCCCCAACCTGCAGCAGGTGCGCGAGCGTCACGCGCGCCTCTACGCCGAGCTGCGCGCCGCGCGCAACCACGCGCCCGACCACATCGTGCAGATACAGCCCGTCGCCCAGGCGCTGCTCAACACGGTCAGAACACTTGCTGGACGAGCACCCGAGTGTGGGAGTGTGGGAGTGTCAGCGTGCGGTAACGTGTGCGTGTTGTGCAGCTGGGCGAGGCGGGGTACGCGGGCTGTCTGGCGCGCTTCTGTCGCGGGCAGCGGCTGGCGCTGGAGGCGCTGCGCGAGCGCCGCCGCAAGCACAAGGAGCTACACCAGTTCCTCTGCGGCCGCGAGCAGCTGCCGCTGTGCGGCCGACTGCAGCTGCGCGACCTGCTCGCCTGCGTCTGGCAGAGGTGACCACCACCACACTACATACTATCACTGCTACAGAATCCTTACTTAACCCGTATTTTATTATTACGTACATTATTAATCAAATGCTGTGTGATGGTGCAGGTTAACAAAGTACCAGCTGCTGCTGGAGAGCGTGCTGAAGACTGTGAGCGAGGAGGGAGGGGAGGGCGTGCCGGAGGGCGGGGCGGCGGAGGGGTCGGAGGCGGGAGGTGCGGCGGCGGCGAGGCGCGCGCTGGCTGTGGCCAAGGACGTGCTGCACACTGTCGACACCGCCATACGTACTGCTGAGAACGAGCACAGGCTAGTACATACATACATACACACATACACACACACACAATACTGTATTATGTATATTGTGTATTTATTTCATTTGATATTTGCCCAAAAACAAAATTATAATGCGCTGACAAATATCATGTCGAATACTTTGTAAATATATTAGTTTAGTCAATGTGTACAAGTCAGTGTTATTGAGTAGTGTAGAAGTGTAGAGTCGGATGTGTAAAGTAGACTAAGTGTAAGTTGCACGTGTCAGACTGCGCAGTATCCAGAGCAAGCTGGAGGTGCGCGCGGGCAGCGGGCCCGAGTGGGAGGAGCTGCGCCGGCTGGACCTCACCACCAGGTCCCTGCGTCTGGAGGGAGACCTGGCCCTCCGCAACGACTCCTCCAAGAGGGTCAATGTGCTGGTACGACGCTGGATTATTTCACATTAGTATCACATTGCACCGTGTTTAGTGTCGCTTATTGCATTGTCGTGTGACGTGATGCTGCAGGCGCTGATGCTGTCGGACTGCCTGGTGCTGCTGCAGCGCGAGGGCGAGCGCTTCGTGCTGCGCCCCATCAGCCAGCCCAGCCAGCAGGGACCGCTCTCGCCCCTCATCAAGTGGTAACATCCTGCACTGACACACACACAAACATAACACCACCACAACAAAACTAAAAACAGTTTAAATGACGTTTATATCTATTTGTTATTTATAAATGTTTATGGTAAAAATATAATCAGGTATATTGTAAATTCTTAGAATCGTGTAACTAATTCATGTCATATTGTACTGTATTGTCTTAAACTAATAACATTAATATATGTTTACGTTTGCTTATGGATAACCCAATTATATACTTGTCCAGTTCTACTTTGCTATTTATATACAACATGAAGCATCACACTGGACATAGACAATTGTTTATTTACACAATTTGTATTGAATTTAAGAAACGTACTATAATTTGTCACAAATGAAATGATAATAGTAAGAAAGAAGGAGGACGAGGTCAGTACATAGTGCAGTAGATAGTGTAAAATGTATGCGATGTGATGTGTTCAGGGACAAGGTGCTGTTCCGACCTAACGCTGCTGTACGCAACACCTTCTTCCTCATGAACATCAACGGTGTGCAGATGCACGAGCTCTCCGCCAACACCGCCGCTGAGTACGCCACGTGAGTCATACACGTACATGCACATGCACATGCACATGCATGCACATGCACACGTGACACAGATAACATTGTATGTATGTATGTGTGCAGATGGGTGAAGCACATCCAGCAGGCGCCGCTGGCCACGCTCACGGAGCTGAAGCCGCTCGTCGCCCACCACCACTCGCGCTCCAACGACGACTCCGGTAACACGTCTCTCTGCTCCCTGCTCCCTGCTAACTGCACTACTGTCACTGTCACCTTCCTAGATAACTAAGCTTTCAATGGTAATTTTACAGGTATAAACGTGTCAAGGAATCCATCCGACGCGTCCGAGAAGTCGTCATCCACTGCGCCCGACGAGGACCGCGACACTGACCATCCCGAGCGTGACACCGACCACCCCGAGCGTGACGCCGAGCGTGACGTCGAGCACGCCGAGCACGACCCGCCCGAGCCCGAGCACGCCGAGCACGCCGGCGAGCGGGACCGCACTTCCACCGAGAGACTCGACCACGACAGAGACGAGAAGAGAGACGACATCGCCAGAGATGGAGACTCGGACGACTCCAACAGGCGAGTCTCTATTTATTAGAAGTGTATGGAGTCAGATATTAGAATAATTTGGTTGTGTAACGCGGTGTGATGTCTGTGGTGTGCAGACAGCGGCGGGCCACTGTGGGGCGCATCAGCACGCACTGCGGGGAGCTGCTGCCCGCGCTGGCCGGCCGGGACGCGCTCACCGTGCGCGACCCCCCCGCGCGCGCCCTCGTGCACACCGCGCGCCGCGCCCTCACGCACCAGGGTACTGCACCCCTCGCACACCCCCCACCCCCCTCCACCCGGCGCGGTATCCCTTCACATGCCACGTGTGCTTGCAGAACGTCTGCGGCGGCTGGACGAGGTGATCAGCCGCGCTCTGCGCGCCAAGAGCAGCATCGTGGGCGAGCTGCTGGGCGTGCCCGCAGAAAGCTACGCCCAGGTCGCCGACCTCGCTGTCGCCGAAACCCTCGGACAAGTCGGTCAGTACGCACTCAACATGACATGGATATATTTAGATACGGTGGGGTAGAGGGAGAGGCAGATATCGTCCGTGTCACAGTCTGACATGATCCAACTGTTGCAGACATGTCGGACATGGAGCCGGCGGGGGCGCAGGCGGAGGGTGAGGTGGACATCCACCAGCTGCTGCTCGCCGCGCACGAGCAGGGTCAGTATATACAGATTTGCCCTCGTATTATTTGTATATGGGGATTATTTGTAAGCGTATTTATGTTTACAATATGTATGACAGCGAACCAACTGACGGAGCTGCTGGCGAAGGCGCTGACGGTGGACGAGTCGAGCGCTATGGCGGCGCGGAGCGGGCGCTGCGACACGTGCCGCCGCGCCCCGCCCCTCGCACACACGCGCCCCGCCCACAACGCGCTCCCGCACTCTCACGACGCTGACGCAAGCGCTCCAAATTACGGTATATAGTTATTACATAACAGAAAATATCGTAGTAATCATAAATTGTAGCTAATATTGACTAATTTGTTTCAAATTAATTATTCCTCAGAAGACTTGGAGGAGTCGAGCGATCGACCCGATGAGCTATCCGAGCTGGAGGCCTGCTTGCGCTCCTCGGAGCAGGGCGAGGGTGACGAGGGAGTGTACGACCTGCTGCTGCCGCCCAGCGCGCCCCCGACCACGCCCGCACCCACCGCACCGCCCGCGCCGACCGCTCCGCCCGCTGTACCGCCCAGGGAGCCCGCAGAGCCGCCCTTTGGTGAGTTACGCTGCTTTCTCACGGTTGCTTTACGTATTAACTAGGCAGTTATTGATGTAATATTGTGTTTGTGTATGTGCAGAGGCGATGCAGGCGGTGGGCGCGGCGCGGCTGGCGCGGCGGCTGGGCGTGCCGGCGCGCGCGCTGTCGGGCACGCTGGCGCGGCTGCTGGCGCACGCCCCGCCCCAGCTGGCGCACGCGCACGCCGCGAGGCACCAGCTGGCCGCGCACCGCGACCTCGCTGACGCACTGCGCGCGCAGGCCAGGCACGCACACACTGGTAAACTACTCTTTATTTATGATTTATGAACTTGAACAGTTTATTCTCTTAACTATTAAAGTCTGTATAATAATTTAAATTATTTTTATTATTGTAATCGCACTACACATACGTTTACAATATACTTTCAGATTACCAAATGACTGAGGAGATCTGCTTCCCCAAGGCGCTGGATGTGGACCGATCTCTGCAGGTAAACGCATCACAAGTTCACTTTATACTTTATTTTAAAACATATTCTCTTTCCACTTTATATTTTAATGTTTGCTGCGTGTTGTAGTCTGCAATTATGAATCATTTTCAGGACCATCCGAGCAACGGAGGCTGATCTCCCAAGTGAGGAGAACCGAACTACCGACTGCGCGTCCGGAGCCGGCCAGCTCGGGCCGCGCCGGGGGGACCGACACGGCGTCCTCTCACCTTACGAAAGAACCAATTGTATATTTTGTAATGTTCACCCTCACATGTACGTGTGTACGTTACCTCGACACTAACTTATGTCCGCGAACCTGTTTGTATTATATTCCACACGTCAGAGCGGCGCCGGCTCTCCCTGGAGGCCGGCTTCTAATGTTGATGTTGTAAGTTAATTGTAAATAACTTGTATGTTACTTTGTACGTAAAGGGAGGGGCCTCGGGCGCAGGGGGCGTGGCCCAGGCCGCAGAGGGCGGGGTCTCGTTGCGAGTATTACGCTGGACAATATTCTCGTGTAGTTAGATGTAAATAGTAACCGCGGCTGTTATTCCAGTACTAGAGTTAGTAAAACCGGACTCGAGATAGAGTTTTATCTAATCAATGAAATGTAAATACTTTGCTCGTATATTTGTTGTTGTAATCATTATTAAAACTATTGAATAATTTTATTTAAGTTCGTTCCAATCTGTTTGTAGATATAATATATGTTTTTATTAAGTATAAAAACTCAGTCTCGAGTTTGTGGTATCACCAAACCTGCGAGTGTGTTAACACACAGTACGTACCTTTTTATTGTCATAAACAGAGCCGAGACGTGACCAGCTGTTTAATACTAATTGCTTTTGCTGCGTTTTGTATAAAATCAATGTGCTAATGTTAGGCAAAGTTTTATATTGAAAATATACAAAATAATTGCAAGTTATACAAATGAAAATTATATACAATTTGATGTATATTTATTTCTAGATCTTTTAAGCTTGAAATAAAAACATAAAATCATGTTATAAATGAAATAACGTAAAATAAAAAAATAAAATGATACAATCACGCGATAACATAAGAGTTACAAAAGTAGTTAAATATATAAAAATATGTTGTAGAAAAGTTTTGCAGTTTGTATGTGTGTATGTATTAAACAGCTCGTAGCGTCATGTATTGTAACTTTTTATAACATTAATATGTAGTGGCGTTGTGTAGTGCACACCACGCGCCACATGACACCACATGACACCACATGACACCATCCGTAGTCCAGTTTGTCCGCGACCTTGTATCTGCATATTTTATATATTTATACTAAATGTTTTACACAATTATTAAACATTTGCAAATAAAAACTTGTATTTTGTATGAGGCAATGATTTTGAACGTAATTTGAAGAGATTCGTATCAATATATACAGAGAACAGACAGAATGTATGTATGTGAGAAGTTGTGACGTCACTTGCACCTCTCTCTCTCACTCTCTATTCTCTCTCTCCCTCTCTCCTCTAGACAATATTGTAACAAAATAGTGGTATCAATAAATACCTTTACACAGAAATATATTGTTTTATTTTTATCCTTGTTTTATACAGAACAATGAATTAATACAATTTACAATTCATTTTTAAATTTCAATAAGTAAAAAAATTGAGTTACGTTTCTTGTTCTTAGCATGTTGTATAAATTGAATACATCAGCACGGCAGCCGAAATTCGTTAATTTCGTTGTTAACATTACTTGTACCAAACTATTTACATTAATAAATTCATGAAACTCTTTTAGTGACTAAATGTCATTGTTCCCGCGCATTTTCTCCATTATTTTTCACTTATATTTTTATAACTAAAAAGGCAAAGGCTCTGTTCATTCAGCCACGTCTCTGGCAGAATGTAAATGCTGCATTCAACACATGCAACTTTACAAAATGATTTTTTTTTATTTATTATACAAAAACTTCACATAACAAATTAAACGTCGGTTAGACAGTAGTACTAAAAACCCACAGGGTTTAGGTGTACTTACTGGTCGCTTATTCATTTATAAGATCAGCAAATTAACAAATACAGACGTTATTAACCATTTCACAATTATATAATATATAAACAAAAAGAACAGAGATTAAACGGTTTTTTTTCAGACTATAGTAGAAAGATTCGATATAACAAGTTGAACAGTTTTGTCCGCTAGAGGCGCTGTTGTCGCAGATGTCGCTAGCGTCCACGTAACGAGAAATCTACATAATGGAAATAATATTAAAACGGCTTACGGTAGAATAGGATGAAGCAAATTTATTTTTACAGCAAATGTTGGACCATATCTCAACCCATATAGAGACATGGGTTCTTCCAGAACTTTACATCTATGGCAAATTTCAGTAAGATCCATGCAGCCGTTCTGAAGATACCTTCTGACAAACATCCATCCATCCAAACATTCGCATTAGTAAGATTAAAAAAATCGTATTTATTAAAACAGTAGAATAACAGCTGATAGGTAACAATAAAAAATGCATGATAAAGTACACTCATTTATAACTCTACACTTATAACGTTGGCGTAAATAACTAATTTGTCAGTCTGACAATAAATATTTACTTAAATATTAAAAATACAATTATGCAAACATTATGTCTTTACGTTGTTTATAACGAAAATCTAAAAAAAATCGTCTGTCAAATGCACCTTTGTTCCGGGTAACCTCCAAACCGGCTGATAACTGTCAGTAAAAGTCCCGCCAAAATCTCGTGTCGCTGTCGATAGTAACTGATTGTGTTCAGAAGTAATTATTGTTTGCGCGGACAACTGCCAGTTATCAGATAAAATACAATTTAATTATTCAAAGGTCACACGGACTTTGTTACGACTTTCAGTTTATTTATCAGTTCTTAGTGATATGTAATTTTAAAATAAATCTATTTAAAAGACGACATAGGATACAAAGACCCGAACTGTGGAACAGGATTCATCGGTAAAACTTAAAATTTAGCTAATAGTTGTGGCACAAGTCCAGAAAGTTACGTGATCTTTGTTTATGTCAAGGATTTACCATCATTTGTCCATTTAATAATAAGGTTTGTGTCAGTTCAGTAACAGTAACAGTGGTAGGCCCGGCTCGCCCGGTGAAATACCACGACCACACAGAAGACAGGCGTGAAGTGGAAGAAATTCCGCGTTTCGTCTGATGAGTGTGCGTCCCGGAGGCCAAGATAAGTCCTCTTTCCCTTCCCGTCATATTTCTTATAAGGAAAGGATGGGAAGTGGAAGAGGACTTTCCGGATGAGAGGATGCATGGAAAGGGAAAATATTTTCTTTCTGTGCATCCTCTTCTCCGTCGATTAAAGGTATGCAACGCATATGCAATTGCGTATGTTTATGGGCAACGGTCACTTCACTATTTCAGCGATTTCAGGTGGCCGCTCGCTCGTTTGCCATCTTATGATATAAAATAAAAAAGTTAACAGTATGTTTTAAGTAAATTTATAATTTCTCGTTATAATTTAAAATTAGATTAATTTAATGTCTTCCGAAAAAAAAACATTAATTAAATGATTTCAAAATGTGTTTATCTGCTGTTTCACGATTATTACCATGTGTTAGAAGTACCAAAGGGCAATGACGGCAAATACTCGTAAAAAACTTTTTAGACTTTCAATAAAACTAGTTTGTATTACAAAGGATTTTTCGCAATTGGTTTTTACATTATCACATAGTTATCTTATCTGTTAATTCATGATCATAATTATTTTTATAATATACACAACGCCAATAAATGCATTGCATGTTTACATCTTATCTACCTAATATTATAAATACGAATGTTTGGATGAATGGATGGATGTTTGTTACAATGTAACCCCGGAACGGCTCAACGGAATTTGATGAAATTTGGCACAAATATAGAAAATAATCTGGAAGAACACATATTCTGCTTATTAATGTTTTTTCCGCGCGGACAGAGACGCGGGCGGCAAATAGTTTTAATAGTTTAGTATTAGTATAGTAATTAAGTCTTTTGTGTCACGAGCCTATCTTTTGACCATACATATATTATCAACTAGTTATTGCCCGCGACTTTGTCCGCATAGTCATTACAAATCAAACAATACTTTAAATCATATTTCGTACAAAACATTCATTTTAGAATTTTTGAAATCAATTTCGATTCCAAATTTTTGATTAATTATCTAATTTAGTAGAACCACTATTGTGTAAACGTGTCCTGTATTTTTGTTAGGAAAAGGAAAACCAAGTAATTAAATTTAATTACAATTACTTTAATTAAAACGTAAACAGGAAAACCTCAACGAGTCGATTCCGTAGCAGTGACGTAGCAACGTAGCTCTGTGGGGTTAGACAAAGAGCATTCCCTTGGAAGTGATTCCATAGCGAACTTCAAAAATGTATGAAATTGACGCGCGTCAATCACACGACATATCCAAAGTTATTGTCAGTTCTATACATTTGGAAGTTCGCTATGGAATCGCCTCGAAGCGAATGCATTTTGTCTAACTCTCCTGTTCCAGATTCTCAGCATAGAGGTTTTATTATGGACGGTAAGAGAGTTGCTGTTGTGGTTAGTTCTGTCAGAAAACATGTAAGTGAATAATACATAGGCATAAAAAATTACCTGAAAGAAAACATGACGAGTCAGCAACGGAGCGCGCGACACGCATTACTCTACGTTGCTTTATGTACCGAGGGGCTAAAAAACTCTTGATACATGCCACAAATAATGTCCTGATAATTTAAGATGAGGTAACGCCGCCTCTAGTAATAATTAAATACCTCAATAAAATTACAAGATACAGTTTAAAATATTTATTTAAAGAAATGATTCGTTGATAAATACATCTGCCAACTCTGAATTATTTTTGAAGATTGAACATTTGTACAAAGGCAGTGAAGCTGTGGATGATTTGTTATTGACTACTGTTATTTACTGTGAACTCTTCGCTTCGTTCCTCAATCATCAGAACATGTTGTCGCAAGGTATTCCGGTTATCATCTCGTATCTGAAATTACATATGTTACTTGTTGACTTATTGATTTAAAATATAAATCTATAACTATAATAACTTTACGCCTGGTTTAGTTTTTTTTGGCAACAGTTAGTAGATCGAAAAATTACCTTCTTGACAGTCGGAAAAGCTTAAGTAAGGCTTTTCGACGTACGTAACTCTAAACAGTGCAGAATAATAGACTTCAAGACGGGGCCTATATAAATTGGAAGAGACTACTATCACGCTGTCATTTGCTACTAAACATAGTAAGAATTCTAATAAACATCTGTAATTATTTTATAAACCAAAAAATCACTTACTCTCCGCACTCGACGCATATAGCAGCGGGGCTTCGTATGTAGCCGATGGGGCAGGACCAGTAGCCGCGAAAGTGGAAGGAGCGCTTCTGCCGCCGCGGCATCTCCACTGCTCCAGACCCACCCAAACTCCTAACTCCACCTATCTCACCTGACCAAGGCTCTCGGGGCAGCATCCTCGCGTTGGCTACCACCAATAACACAAGGGCTACGACAAGTAATGTTTGATTCATTGTGTTTACTTCAGTTCTACTGACAATATGACCGGGCCTTCTATATTATATAGGAAGCAGTGACTCAATTCTAATACGTCTTTTCTGAATTAAACGTAAACAGTGGAAGCTGTAATTGATTAAGTTCGAGGAAAATTTATAATTTATACTGTAATTAATTATTTAAATAGGACGTTTATGTGGGATAACGTTCTTACATGACGCATGCAGTGTTTCAAGGACTGATTTGATGCATTTAAGAACATCACAAAATTATTAAGTACTTGAAAATAGAGCAGTTTTATACCAAGCAAATAACAAAGAAGACATTCATTTTAGTATTCGTTTCGTGGTTCAACTTTTCCAGCTCCGACTGTGTATGTTCATATAATTCATCGAAGTTTTTATTGCGATGAAACGTTAATTTTGTTTTTCTACTCACGCAAGAAATCTATGTTTAGCAAATATAAAATACGACGCCAAATATTTGATGAATAATTAAACACCTATTTTGTATTCGCAATAGATAAGCTCAGTCTTCGTCAGTGTACAAAAATAGCTTATGTATTGTATACTACTAGCTAGTTATTTATTTAGTGGAATGTTTTTGACAATCGCCTTCGTATCTTCTTCGACCAAATATGTATTAAAATTTGTGCAGCGATCCAACACAATTTACTTTACTCCCGACCTTTATCGGGAGTCAAGTAAACCAAAAATTTCATTAACCAACAAATTTTGACATAATTGACGATGACGATTGTAACAAATATTGATTGTAACAAATATGCCCACAAATTAAAATACTAAACTTTTAATGCTAATGGGCCGGCGCGACCGTTAATTTTCAAAGTCGATTTTTTTTTTGTTATAATATACAAAAAGTCTGAATCTCTCACTTCGAATTCACGGCCACCAATGAGATGCTAAGGATGATTCTAGAAACACCTGAGTCTGCAGAGTTTGGGAGGTTCATAAGGTTGTATGTTGTATTTTGAAATTTTGTTTTAAAAATTATATTAAATAATCTACACTAATATCATAAAATTGAAAGATTAGTGTTTCTTTGCACCAAATATATTATATGATAAATATTTAATATTCTCATTGTTTAAAATATAGATTATTTTTGTAAGATATAAATAATATGTTTACATTCGCCAGGAGTTCTGCTGAGTCAGTCAAGTTCGGACACAAGTATTATAATATTTTGACAAACTGAAAGATACGATATCTGCGTTCATACATATGTTATCTTATCTTGTGTGTTTAAACTTATCTTTTGTCAAAATATAACTAATTACATAATGACTACAGACACAAAGGTTACACCAAATCATTAAAAAAATAACTTAAAAATAGTTTATTTATCACAATGTTAAATATGTTCTTAATAATATGAGAATTGTGAAGCAAGAGATCGACCCAAAAATCTTTATTTCTTTATCCGAATGCAGCTATGTTCAAACTTTGTTTTATGACAAAGCAAAAAACACGATGAATAGTTAATATTATGTATACATATGGCACATTTATTTCATAATATCATTATAAATGCGAATGTGCAGACCTGTTGAAGAGATAGCGTTCAAATTTGAGAGATGTAGAACTTTTTTGAATTCCACGCAGACGGTGTTGCGGGCGACAACTAGTATCTTATAAAAATAATCTATGTAGGAGTGTGGTGTGAATGTTAATTGACGTCACCGTTTGAACATATCTACGAGGAGTACAAAAGGAGTTTGCATTTCAATACAACAGCACTGAGAATTAACATTTTTTGCACTCAACAAAAAAACTTCGAATGATTTTATATAATAAACATTTTTCGATATATCCCTGCATTATGTTCACAATAATTGTTAAGTAACATTAATAATACAGTTAAATGTAACAAAACATGATAGGTTATAATTTCCGCGGTATGATGTTAATCTTCAAGGGCGCGGAGCCCAGGATGAATCTCCTGGGCACGAAGCGCACGTCCTGCATCACCTCGCGCGTCCCGGACACTCGGAACGAAGAGAATATTTTTGCTAAACAGGTTCTTGATTGAATTTTAGCAAATCTCATCCCTGTAACAAAACATATAAATACATAAAATAAATTTTACACTTTGGTTTAGCAATACTTAGTAGCATGAAGTTTATAGTAAACACTAACCGATACAATTTCTGGGCCCGACTCCGAATGGCATGTAGGCACAGGGATGTCTTTTGCTCACATTCTCTGGAGAAAATCTGTCCGGGTCGAATCTGTCCGGGTCAGGGTAGTATTGTGCGTCACGATGTATGCCACCCGCAGATACGAACACCATTTGGCCCTTCTTCACCGTTACGTCGGTGCCTAGGATCTGGTAGTCCTGCTGCGCGCGTCGCTGCAGCGGGTCCACGATGGGGTACAGGCGCAGGGTCTCGTCGAACACCTGCTCCATATACTTGAGCTCGTTGAGCGCCTCGAAGGTGAGCTTGCCATCGTACTTCATCATCACCTCGTCTACTTCCTGTATCACTCTCTCCTGCACGTCAGGGTTGCGAGCCAGCTCGTACAGCATGAAGGACATGGTGCTGGCGCTCGTCTCGTACCCGCCCGCGTAGAACACGAACGCTTGCGCGGCGATAATGTCGTCCGTCAGCTCCAGGGTGCGCTGCTGTTCCTCCGACGACCGCTTGGGGCCTTGGATCTCGCGCTGCTGCCGCAGCTCGAGGATGAGATCCATGAAGTCTCTCCTACTGGTCGGCTTACCGTTCCTCTGGGTCACCACCTTCGTCACCAATGAGTCGAAGAAATCCGATATCTCCTTCGGGAAGATATCCATGTTGAACTTCTTCAGGACACCCGGGAACATCATGTCCACCTCGTCGATGAACGACGGCGAGAAGATTATGTCGTCCAACTTCTGCAGCACGTGCATCTTGTCTGCGATGGTGTCGAAGTCGAGGCCGAATGCGCACGCGGAGATGGTGGCCACCGTGTACCGCTGAATGAGCGGGTGCAACTCCTGCTCCTGCCGCTCGGCGCAGAGCCCCTGTACATACTCCACGAACCTGTCCCCGCCCTGCTCCATCAGGTACACCATGTTCTTGAGCTTGGTGGAGGTGAAGATGGGCGTGAAGCGGTTGCGCAGGACGCGCCATATATCGGTGTCCGCGTGGAACAGGTTGTTGCCGAGGCCGCGCTCGCTGAAGGATACGCCGCGGTCTGAGAAGTAGTCGAAGTCTTTGATGAGGATGGCCTTGGCGATGTCGAGGTCCCGCACGAGCAGGCAGGGTGTTGTCATCCGGTACATGCCGACTACTTTGTCATTGGGGAACTGGTTGTAGATGTCACGGAAGACGACGGCGATGTTCCGTTTGCGCAGCGCGGACGCCTGCAGGCTGCCGAACAGGGGCACGGGGCGCGGCCCATTCACATTGCGCTGCTCCCAGTAGCTGAAGTTTCTAGTGACATAGCGGTACAGCAGATAGCACGCGGCCGCCGCCAGCGCCAGGTACGCGTACGCCATGACTGTTGCCCTCAACTGACTCTTATTATCAAATGAGCTGCATTATCAATATCACTGTATATATAGATGAGGTGCGATTATTCATAATGACTTTACTTTTAACCGGTACGTGTTTAGTTTTATTTTGTATTATATTATTACATCTTACGAGGCGGCGAGACGTGAATTGTGATGTTGATTTTGGCCAATTATAAAAGTCATGCTAACACGTTTGTAAAAAGCGCAGACTAAGGCTGCGTTCACGATACTTGCAATGCGCGTGTCGCCCGCTCGCGCCGCTCCGCTCAATTATTCATGCTAGGCCCTCTGAACATCACAAACCTGACACCGCCCGGTAGTCACGTGATTTTAGGTTGACATTTATCATTGTAATGTAAAGATTTAGGAAGACATCGACATTATGCTACCAGTGGGTCAAGATAATTTTTGGGGCTTGAACAAAACGTAATTATTTCCGAGTTGTTGGTGTATTTTGCGTCTGATAATGGCGCTGCAACTTCTATACATTTTGTAGAAAACAGAGGTTCACGTCCGGGCATTATATTTTTTAATGACTGACAAAGATACTACACGGTGACTGTCAGTCGCTCGTGTCGTGGCCACCGTGGCTGCGCCCCGCTCCGCACCGCCCCGCTCCGCACCGCCCCGCTCCGCTCTGCTCAGTCGTCGCGCCGGCGTCAACATGCTTGCTATGACTAGTTGCGTTTTCATTTCTATTAGTTGTGTTAAATTTGTAAAAATGACAAAGAACATTGTTTAAAGTCAATTGAAGCGATCGGTTAAATAATAAGGGCAGTTTAAGGACTGTTTAATTGATAACATAAATTAAAAAAAAACTAGTCTCTTAGGATTTACTGATTTAGTATTTAACGTTTTTTTATTTAGCCTTTAGTATTTGATACGCTGCTGATACTTAAAAAAACATACTTAAATAATTACAAGAAGTTCTTATATTCAAAGTATAGTCGCTTTAAGCTGTTGAAATAAAAAAAAATTGGTCCCTCCTTAAATGCCTGCAGCCATGAACACGCACTAAGTTTATTATTTACGCTTATCATTCAATTTAACAATAGATAGATGGAGCGGAGCGGCTCTTTATGCAAAATGCAAGAAATATTACTCAATACATTTATTTTTAATATTTTCAAATTCATTAGCTTTTTAGCTTTATTTTATGACCCTAATTGTGATTTATTTTTTGAAGCAAAAAATAAATAAACATACAATCAGTATATATTTGTAAATTTTTTTCTGTGTTCCACGCCATCTATTGTAAGCTATTTAAATTATGTGTTTTATTCCAACTTTATATTTATAACTTGATGAGATAGATGGCGCTTGGAAATTAAAGTTTTTAAGTATCATAATTAATACTATTAACATCAAAACGATTAAATAATAATTATTGAACAAAATTGTATTATGTTTTTTTGATTGTATTACAATATCTTTACAATACAACATTTAAAACGTTAACCAAAGTTCGTGTTGCGCAGAATTGATTTGGAATTACATGACAATTTCACTGAACATTATATTTCCGCATTTTTTTCATTCTTGAATTTAATGTACTCTATTTATAAGAGCTTTTTTTCTTATACTTTTCTTATATTAACTGCATTTCACTTAGTTGCGATTTTTATACTCTGTTCGAATTCTGACAGGAGTGCGTTTGACAGCTGCCAATGTGTCACCGAGGCGTGACATTCGGCAGTGTGTTGCTGCTAGCAAATTGCTTATGTCGCAAGGTACAACTTGATATTGAAATTTCAACTTTCTTATGACTTTATCAAAAATATAAACTTTAATAGATTTTTGTAGAAACCGAGTGACACTGAATATTATGTTTTTGCAGCAAATATTTTATTTACGTCCAACGTATTCTTATAGATATCTTCTTTCCTAATTAAAAGAGATAAGGGAAAGGGGTATCTAATATATCGAGTTATTATAATCATAGTAACCTTATGTTGTCAGTTGTATGGGTCCTCGGGTGAGTAATAGTTAAGGCACAAATAACGGACCGCTGTTTATATCTTGGAATTACCATGACTCATACAATTTGCATCAAATTATCCACAATACTAACGTAACGAAAATATTTATCATCTAATAAGCAATGCGCAGTGGGACAATGTGGTTGACTGAAGCCTCACCCCTAACATAGGGTTGACATGAGCCTTAAAAATGGGGACGTTTATGAACTGGATACAAAAACACTACTTTATCGGACAGGAGAACGTTTATATGCATGTAATGTGACGTCTTACAATATATAGAAGTCGGCTCATACTGTGCGTATTTCAGAATTTAAATTTAATTGAAATTAACTAATTCTTGACATGTATGTATGTATGTGTATGTGTATGGGCTTATAGTTCGTCCTTCTGACAAACATAATAATTAATATTACAAACTTGTATATATCTCGTTCCTAATTCATAAGTGATTTAAAAGTTATAAGTATAATCTATTCTTAAATACCTGAATGTGACGTGACTCATATTTACGGACAAACAAATTAATTATATGTATGTATGTATTGTGTGAGTCATCCGGTGTTAGCGCAAATTGTTGAATCGTGTCCACTGGTATTGTAGAATTCTTAAAATAAATTTTACTGACGTAAAGGATAAGTTAATTCATTTATATGTATCTTAAAACGAGAAATAAATAATTAATGACAATTGAGAAAATGCCTATTCGTAAGAATATAAGCGTGCGTTTCAATTGTTAAAATACTCGTATAAAAACACTAATATTACATCTCTTACTCTTAAAGTAAACTTTGAGAAAAAGAAAATCTTGACCGTAAGAAATATCTATAAAGCATAGCTTTGGTAAATCTTTCACACGACATAAATCCATATCTAACGTAACCCTTCAAATTATTTCTACAAGACGTCCCCTTCCCGCCCCGCGCAACACTCCCTCTGCTGACCCCGGATGCATACTGATGCGAAGGGTTATATCGGCCTACACAAATATATGAAACATATTTCTATGGACAACACATTTTGAATAGTTCCTTCATGATTTCTTATTTGTTACATATTAGATAGAAAATAAGTGTTTATTTTGTCTAGAAAATATTTCTTGCGACTCCAAATAAGCTTATGTTAAGTTATGTAATCGGCAATATTCGAGCCTTCGACCACTTCTTTAGCTGCGACTCCTAACCGTTATGCTACTGTCGCTTTGATTGTCCCATAGTTTCTATGTTTTCAAATTATCTTTTTAAAGTCCTTATTGTAATTCACTGTAGTTAATTCTCTTTAAAAGAGTCAAGATACATTTTCGTTATTTCGATTCTCGCAATTTTAATTTGCAGACAAAAAGTCTGGGAAATTTGTAACAAAGGGAACTTGTGTGTTAATTTTGTTTTAAAAGTACATTTTTCAACAATTAATCTTCTTTTAAAAACAAAGACAAAGAATTGTTTCTTAATTAATTAGGCATTTAATGCATGCGTTCCTCGAATAACTTTGAGTTTATTAAAATTTACCATAAATCAATTAACAAATTAATATATCTTACTAATATTATAAATGCGAAAGTTTAGATAGACCGATAAAATGTATGTTTGTTATGTTAGCAAGAAAATCCGAAAATGAGCTAGTGTATTGACACAACACTAGCCTTACTAAAATGTCGACGTTTCTGTCCCCTCACTAATCATTCTGACATTGCACTTTGTAACGAAAGCACGTCATTCGCGTCAAAGGATTCCAACTAATAATGTCTAAAAGTTAAAAGTTATCTCCAGAACGGCTGCATGTATCTCGCTGAAATTTGGCATAGATGTAGAACGTAGTTAGGATGAACACATAGACTACTAATTATTTTTGTTTAATTCCGTGCGAACACTAAAGGGCAAAAGTTAGAGATATTATATATTTATTTTAAAAAGGAACAAGTTAACAGATTCCACTAACGTATTAAATGAGATTTGAAACATTTTGTTGCGATTAATTTCCGGAATAAGAAACAAGTGGAATTGGATTTAGATCAATCGTTGGAGGATAATCATCATCCAAGTGTATTCAAGCAGCTTGTTAATAACTTTAAAAGAACATAAAAATTGTTCTCGGTTCGCCATTATACTCAAGTTAAGTGTAATATATGTATGCAAGTTTTTTGTTCTCACGACGTGTCATTATGTATAATTGACGCGGGTTTTTTGACCTTGTTGACTCGTAGTCACAGCTCTGACATGAAGTAAACTGTCTCATAGTATTGTCAGTTTGTGCATCACAATGTCACTAGAAAACTAAGGTAAAAAAGTTAACTTGTAAATTTTGTGAAGAAAAAGCATGTTTAAAAGATAAGTCGATACGTTACTTGTTGAAGTCGCTTAGGCAAATACATAAAAACATAACTCCCTTAGAGTCAGATGATTAAGTACACTAAATAGTTTAACGGGTCGTTAGTTACATAGAAAAACAAAGATTTCGTAATATTATCTATATGTATAAAATATTATATTATCGAATGTATAATCCACATAGAGAACATAAAGCTAAGCTACTTTGTGTTAATCATATAACACAAAGCTATGTTATTAATCTTTCAAGTTGTACTTGGACGTAGCTTAGTGCTATTATGTTTATGTACTATGTATTTATGTACAGAGTTATATAATGACGATGACAATGCAGTTACATTACACTCGTGTGTTAACCTACTTCTAAATAAATAGCTTGTTTGTCCTTGAAGCTCTCTTTGTATTGCAGCTTAGTTTCACAAATTATTTCGTTTTTTTATTTAAGTATTTAAAAAAAAAATTACAATTTACATCAATATAAATGTTTTAGTAATGAAAATATTTGCGAAACCAACATCTATCACACCTGACCTATAGAAGGAATACATAACGATTATCACTTTTTCAAATTTAACCAAGATGTCAATGAAATGGACATATCGCTAACCACTTTTTATGTGTCTTCTCGTATCATTTTCTGAATATTAAATGTTAGGACAGAATGCAGTACAAATCTGTCCGAGGTACTAATTACTTGTGTCACTCGCTCTTCATGGGATAAAGGAGTGAGTCAGTT